GTTGACATAGTAAATATTGGAACATATTTAGAGCCATCTGGAGAGGGGATTTTCAGGAACCGGAATTTATTTAATGAGGGCTAAAAACATCTGAAAGGACAAACTTGTGTCCACTCATAAAGGACTTCCTATGACCTCAAGCAATCCTGAACTAAATTTCCCAGGGCTAAAGCTACTGAAAAGTGCTGTGCATATTCTAGAACACATCGTAGCAAGAGGCATTTTTGCATATCCTGGTTTGGGAAAGCACTGACTAGGGACCATCCCACAAGCCTTCCGAATCAAGTTGGCAAATTTATTTCACAATTAATTTAAAGACAAGTAAAAATGCTTATCCAGTTCCTGCAACATTTCCTGCAGCAAGAATAAAGGTTTGTTTTATTTTTTCCCAGATTAAAGAATATTGGGACCATGTGTCATGAAATGCTGGATGAATTTGTAGAGTATGTCCATCTCAAAATGTTAGTAATGAGTTCCAAGCAAAAGCCATTAATAGTGCTTTGGTTCCCACTAAATTCCATTACATCACATTTAATGCAATGTCTGATAAAAAACAAAAGTAATAATAATAATAATAAAAATTTATATATACTCAGTTGCAGGTCTCCTTGTATCTACCCAGTGAGTCATTAGTGGGGAAGACTGAGGAAATGCAAGGTTTTAGTTCAAATTACAGTTTTAAGATACAGCACAGTTGTCTCAAAAGCTCATCTTGAAAGGATTGTCTTTTTCTTCACCATATAAGAAATGATGTTAAATAAAAATCTGAACCTCTATGTTCTGATTTGGCCCAGACTAAGCATAGAAGGTGGCAGACTGAAACTTGGCTGGATAGCTCTACATGACTTCTAGTTAGGAAGTATAAGCTTGAGATGAGATTTTCAAAGCTACAGCTTTACACCCTAGCAGGACTTCTGCAAGGTTTTCTTCTTTCTAATGCTCACAATTATCTTGAGTAAATGTGTTCCTACTTTGCTCATTGCTTACATATGAAAGCACCAAGATACTGCATGAAAAATTGTACACTCTGCAGAACTGGAAGGAACATAGATATGGAGTAATGTACTTTTACAGGATTTCTTCTGACCCCTAGAAATCTCCCTTTGTTAATTGCTCCAAAGGCTCTGATGCTTTTGACTTCTGCCTTCTCTTCTAAGTGTCTACATTATCTGGATTTTTTGAACAATCTTTGACTATTAAGCTATTTATGAAAGTTGTGGTAATCATTAATATCCTACTACAGCTGCTGCAATTCCATCTTCCTGCAAATTCTGCTGCACCTTGACACACAGACCAGAAGCTTGCCCGAGAGCACTGGGCATACTGCATCTTTAATACTTTGAGAAGTCCATTTCATTATAAGCAATTAAAATAACTAATCTGTTTTTAAAATGTGTGGAACGGTAATTTGGTTCAAAAATTTTATTTGTAGAAGATCCCATTTCCTTTTCATGGCACAACTCCCTTCAATAAATTTTTGCATCAAATCTTCAAAAACCTGATCCACTAAAACCAACAGTAGTGTTGGAATGCAGCTCTTCAAAGTTTTAATTTCCAGCATTTGAGTCTGCAATTATAATACATTTTAATTTGAATGCAAAAGAACTGCAGACACCATTGTTCACATCAGCAGCAAATATTACATAAATAACTCTAAGTGTCCTGTTCTAATGGGGCAAATGCCACTGGTAAGTAGTGTCACTCTAAAGTAAGTGGCTTCATCCATCAAATGTCTTTTACTTACACAGAACACTGTGTAAGTTACTGTGTTACAACTGAACATTGTAAAGCATTTATGTTTCACACCTCGTATAAACCAGGCTTCCTCGTCGTGCTCCTTCTCCAGACTACACTGACACCTGCTGGGGAACTTCTGTCAACCTCAGAATCCACATCCTTGAGACTATCATCAGCAATTTTCAACTTGGCAATGAACTGATTCAATTTTCTGCCTTATTACGCCATGTATCTGCTGTATAGTTTGGCTTCTGAAAAAAAAACCCCACAATTTTTGAGGAAAGATCTAACAAGCCATAAATTATCACAGAAGATGTGATGTTCCAGTTGTAACGATCTTCCTTTTCTTTAAAGTGCATTATCTAGTGTCACCATGGAAAGAAGCAGAGGAAGAACACACGAATCAGCCCCCTCCCTCATTCCTAGGAATAAAACAATGTGGTAGGCCTTAGATATAAAACACTCCAAGAGCAGTACTTAGCTTCGTTGTTAACATAAGGCAATTAAAAAAAAACCCCAAACCCTTAAATACCTCTTCATTTCCTCAATTTGTTATTGCTCCTAAGCAGGGCCAGATTTCATACAGACACCAGCTTCTTGCTATGTGTTTGTTAGAACAGAAAAACTCAGAGAATATTCCAGTGGTTACGTGACATCCAACCCCACTTTCAGTTCCAAAGAACTTTTCAACAAAATAAGCAGCACTAATAGTTAAACAAAAAGTTATACACATTGTCTGGTTCGAAAAGGATTGCAAAACTCACCTTTCATACTGGAAGTCAACTTTATATTGAGGACCTTTCTCAACTCCTTCATTGGAATCCAATGCAAACTTCTGTGAGGTTTAAGAGGGGCTAAATAAATCTTCAAGATTTTTAAAGCAATGGAATTCAGTGATGTAAAATTGCAAGTCTAAGGTGAAACACTTCCTTCATGCACCAATGGCATAAAACCAAATATTAAAGCATTGATTTTTCTATCTCCCAAATAGCCGAGACTGTGAATAACAAAGTCTGGAATTTTGCAAAGAAAGTTGTGCTGTGGAGAACTATTGTGTTCAGACAGACCACAGTCCCACTTTGATAAAAAATTCTGAAAACAGAAATCTTTATCAGTCAGACATACTGAGATAGTATTGAACACATCAGGTATTGGTTGAGATTTTTTTGAAGCATTTGGACAGAAAAAAAGGTTTTCCTATAAATGTTGACAAGCTGCTTCAAAGATGATTAAGCTTTTCCAAGCACCTACAGCACATCATGCAAAAAAAGGTGAAAGTTACTAAATGAAATTATTTCAGGAACAGATATTTTTCATTTAGTCCCCACAATGAATAACATTGACCAAGAGGTAGACAGATTTTCAAGAAGTGTGTTTTCAAATGATCTCCAGCATAAAGGATTCTTTAGCACAAAACATCCTGAAAGAGCAACACATTTTCAGTGCTAGTACTTATTAAGCTTTCAAAAAAATCAGGAGCACACATCCCAGGTTTTGGAAATACCATTTTATTTTCCAGTGAATATCCAAATGTAACACTTGCATCATTGCTTATCAACCATCAAATTGATGAAATACTAAAAGCTCCAGTGCACAGTTAATTAGATATCTAAATCTTAATAAAAATTATCAGTGCAAAAATAAAAATTAATTCAATATGCAGTTTAATGCATTTTGTTAGAAAGATATTTGGGCTTTGAGCACGTATACATCAAATAATCTGGTAAGAGAAGCCACTTCCAGTCTGTGCTCCAAACAAAACTATTCCACACCCAGTTCTAAAGACAGGGAAGAACTAATTTTTTCTTTTTAAATGAAAAGTCTGAGCTTAGTTACAACATTCATCATGGGTACACAAGCTGAGAAATATTACAGAAGTCACCCTCTATTCAGATAGGAGTTGTTCAAAAAAGAGGCTTTCCTATTTTTCATGTGTGGGATCCTTTTGAGACATCTATGTTTTTTCCATTCAGAACAGAGAATTAACAACATTCCAGTGTGCCCCAGTGTTGGCAAATCCTCTTTCAGTCCAGACACACAATGATGATTGATGAAGCTGTTGGGCCCACGGTAGCAGGCAGAACAGCTTGGCAGGAATTCAGTGTTATTGAAAGAAATCTCAAATACTTATTCCATCTCCTCTACTAACTTTAATCACACTATCAACATGCTGCCAGGAATGGAGCCTTGAAACCAAGCCATAAACCTACACAAGCAACCCTTGTTGGTGTATTACTGCTGCAATACAGGTAAAGTGTAAATTCTGTTTATTTTTACCTGTTTCCATTCTCCATTGGACACCAGCTAAATTATGGAAAGATATTTCCTGCACTAACGGTTAGCTTGCAGCAAATTTCATTAAGGTACTACATCTCATTTTCCTCGGTTAATGCACTGATTGAGTTAACTTCTTCAGTTGCACTGCTGGTAACTGCAAGTTTGGGATAAAGGAAAGCAGTGCAGGAGAGTATTTCACATATGCTGTAAAAGTTGGTAAGAAAGAAGATCAGTACTACAGGCATTTAACCACTAATCTGCTCATTTGTTATGCTGATAAAGAAACAAAAATCTTCCCTCATTTGCTTCATAAAAGTTCTGCCAAGCTTATCCTAAGTAAACCAACAGCATGCCAAATATTTAAGGTAAAACTGTACTAGCTACAAAGCTAATACAAAGACTGATCACTTTTTTAGCTTGTTTTGGCTTTGCTTAGAACAGTAAAAGAGATGCCTGAGACATTTACAGGGAGAAAAAAAGAAGGGATTGTTGACCAAGCTTACCTTACACATTTTTTGTTAACAAAAACTATTCAAATTGCAACTCTCCTTCATAATACTGAACATTCAACCCAAAAGTTTAAATTACAATTGGATTTAAAACTCTGTTGAGATCTTTCACTGGTTAATCTTCAAAGTAAAATATTCCATGAGAGAAGTTTATTTTCTTGAAATCGACAAGCAGAATATAGAGTTTTCCCAGTGACTTCTCAGCTAACTATGGCTGGAATCTATTAACCTACTTTTTGGGAAAGGTCTGTGGCTGCACACCAGGATGGCTGATATTACATTAGTCTCTGTTTTCCCAAATGATATGATACTCTGCCGATGGGAGAGAACTCCAGTTTGCAACTCCCTGAGCTTGATGTAGTCACACAATTTTCAGCTCCAGCTTCCAACAAACAAAGAAATACTGGCATTCCACCTGCCCTGAACCAAAAAAGCATAGATAGGCACTTAAGTTGAAAGTATGCAAAACATTTCTTCCCATTCCAAGACTGTAGAGGAAATCCTCCTTTTTTTCTATCAGCTTCAGCTTTCCAAAAGAACCTCAATTCAAGCCAGAAGCAGCTGAGCATGGCACAAATCCAGCATTATTGAAAAAGGTGTTAAAAAGAAGCGTATTTGGCCAGTTCCTTCTCCATCTCAGAATACTGCTCTTTGAGGCGCTCCATCGCCTTTCTGTGCTCTTCGTCCACCTCTGCGCGTTTGTTCTGCTGTTCTCTCATGAACTCCTCCCAGTGAGCAATGCACTTCTCCTCACGAGCCATCATCTTGTCTGCCTGAAGCTGACAGGAGGAAAATAGGAAGCTTTTAACCATCATTTCCATAGTAAAACAGGGGGGTTAATGAGAGCAACACAATGTTAAACTATCTGGAAACTAGCACAAAGACATATGGAAAGGAGAAACGAAAAAGAAAACATTTATTTTTGTATAGCCAATCCAAAACAAGTGGTAAAATGTCTGCAATACTATTAATGTGACTGTATTAGCAATGATGCTATTTCTATAAAATATTATAACAGAGATATTAAATGTTTTGAAACTGGCAGCTAGTGTTTCTGCTTTAGCCAGCTAGCTCTCACTGTGATTAATGTCTTCCTGTATAAATAAGTTATTTTTCCCCTCATATTTTCCTACTGCTTGGCTTTGCTAAGTTTAATTCCATTCAGTATCTTATCTTGAAAAAAAAAAATAAGTCTAGATATCTAGAAAAAGAGATCCCAGACACATCGAATGCACATGACAAAACACAATGTAACTGTGGATTGCTTGGGAGCTGTATTGACAGTCTGGCCCCCTTATATTACAAGTGCAGAAGCCAAAATAAACCTAGGCAGTTGTTCTTCCATTTGCTCCATGTCCCAGCAAAACAGAGGATTAATCCTTCTTTTTCTCTCTCCTTTTCAGTGTTTCAACAATAACTGTTTCTTATGTGTGGCATTTTTGTCAACACTAAAGGCACTGGGAATCCATTTATGTATTCTTAAACCCATTTATGTATTTTAATATTTCTGCCGTTCTTCAAGATCACACAGCAAGGGCTAAATACACGACCTTTTTAGTGCAGCTTTTGATACACTTTAACAACATTGTATCAAGATCCATTTTGTTTGCACCCAATACAGTAACATCTCCCGACAAGATACACAAGTGTACACTAACAGTTTGACAGGTACACTACTTTGTATTCAACAGGTTTTGAAACATGGAACTTTTGAAACATTTGAAACTTTTTGACACAATTACACATCACCTACCCAAACCTAACAATGCTTTCTGCCAAAATCTCATTATTTTTTCAGAACACATAATTTCAGAAAAGTAAGAAAAAGGTATTTCTCCTCAAGTGGCTGCACTACAATGACAACTTTTACCTATATTTTTTAACAAGCTACCTACACGTTACTACTCTCATTTGGAAAGTTTCAAGCCAGAAAGTTGTACTATGCAAACTTTAAGAAATGCTATGAATCCTGGATACCTATAACTACTCTTCCACTACATATTAAAAGAAAAAAAAAAAGAGTGGAAACATCCAGCTAATATTTTTAAAAAAGTACAGTCACCATTCTTACTAAGTGACTGTTCATTTTCTAAGTTATAAATTTCTTATTAAAGTTTTACCTCAAACAAACGGTAGCAGAACTGTAAGAATTTCCTACCTCTCTCTGAGTATCTACTCTAGTGTCAGACACAAGCAAACTCTGTCAGTGCTCAGACATGTGCTGTTTGCCCAGTACCAGTGCACAATTGCAACTGGACTGCCCATCTTCATCAGGTGCAAAAACGGAAAGAAAAACGTGACTATCAGCTTACATCCATGAATGCACAGCCTGTTTTGTTTGACAGCCATGGAAATGTCTTTGGTTTTTCCTGAACTAAATTATAATCAACAGCATTTTGCAAGTAAAGAGATAACACAGGAATACAATAAAGAAGTAGGATTGGGAATACATGAAACTAATTTAATGTATAATTTTCCAGGTTTTAGATTCAGAGCACATGCATTTCAAATAAGCAAAGTGTGTAGCCAACTGAAAAGGTTCCAATGATTCGCATGTTCCTATAATATACCTCTTCATTAAATAACCCATCCACAAGTGAAAAAAACACTTCCTTTTCAACAAGCAATATATATAATATGGTCAATGTTCTCAGCAAACTAGGAAAGATTTACATTTCCATTCTGGTAGGTTAGTAGATGTTTTTTGTTCCACAGAAAATAAGCTTTTCTTATATTTAAGCTTTCCCTGTATGTGACAAATGTTATAGTCTGAGCTAGGAGGAAAAATAAAGCAAAGGAAATAAAAAAATAGTTTCCATATATCAGGAGATTGCAGAAAGAGTTAGCTAGATCATTAACTTTGCAGTGAGCATTTTTTAAGTGCAGAAATCACCCCAAGAGAAGTTTTACTGCCAGTATATAAGGTACAGAAAAATATGTTTTTAAGTTTATACTGAAGGCAGAAAAACTTGCCGTGAAGCACAAAACTCTTAGATCACAAAATAAAAATCCATCCATCTGTCCTTTACCTTTCTCGCTTCACACTCCCTCTCTTGGAGTCTATGGATCATGGCATTGGCAGCTTGCACTGAAACAAGAAAATGCAGTAGATCAGTCTGCTGTTGGAAATCAAAGAAACTTGCCTGAAAGGGATTTAGAAGATGCAAGGCTGTTGCAAGTTGAAGATTGTATTCCACTGTGTCACTTAACTCTGCCAAGAGTCACCTGTACTTGCAGAAAATGTTTCACACTTACAACTTTAACACTTATTAAAGTAAGCAGGCTTATTGCAGAGTTCAACCTTTGTGTGTTCTAGAAGCCAAAAGCAGGAAGGCAGTGAGGTCCTCTTGTGCCCACACTTTTAATGTTGCTGGTGAGCTGGAGTGCACTACTGAGCACCTCAGAAGACATCAAAAACCACTCTCAAGTCAGCAAGTAGAAATAGGTGATCAAACTTTAACTCCTGAGTTAGTTGAGGTTTTTTTTAAATTTTTTCCCCATCAGCTGTGTATAGACTCCACAGGTACAACATTTTAATGCTCTTTAACATCCTTATGAGTCCATCTCTTTTCTCCCTGACACTAAGCCTGGGAAAACTTGTCAATGGAAATAGGAACTGCATTCCTACGCACTTCCCCCCCCCCCCCCCCCCCAACACAGAATTAAATACATTAATTTCCCAAGCAGCAACTGGATGCAGTCCTGGACAACTGGCTCAAGTTACTGCTGCTCCAGAGGTCCTTTCCCACTTCAGCCATTCTGAGATTCCATTACTGAAGATGAACTGCACAGCTGGCCATGAGAAAATCAGGGAGTAGCATCCAAGGTTCACCCCAGTTAGGTATTAGGATGCCTTGTTTGCATGACTAAATTGTAAGTTTCAATGTTTTCCTGCAATCCTTTTGGTGTGGAAAGTACCATCTACCATTTGCTACTCTGCATATGCCAGATGTCATATAAATAAGTTATAGGAAATTAAATGCTTATACAACATGCCACACAAATTGTAACAAAATCCACAGTGGCATGTTTCAACTCCATAAATTCGGCAGCTAAAGCTGTGTACCCACACTCTCTTAGAATCTCTTTTGAAGAAGCCATCCTGCTAAACGAGTAAGGGAAAAAAAGCACATTTAAAAACTAGTAGAAATTTCTAACATTCTTCTAAAATCTGAGCAGTAAAGAAATATATTAATAAGGATGAAACTAAAATTAACATGCAATTACTATTACTTCCCAATTTGTGACTGAATAATGATAATAATAATAAATTTCATAGCTATACAACAGAAAGTTTTATTTTAAAGGATTTAAGGGAGACAGTATTATGCACTCCTGTGGGAAAATTAAGAAACTTGAAGTTCACATCACAGCATGGTTGCAACAAACCAGGAAACTGAAACTTTTGTCCATGGCTTTAGTCAATGTAGAACACTGTTTCCAAGTGAATAGGAAAAGAATGAGCTGAAGTAGCTTCTACTTAAACCAACAAAAAACTCTAATGTAATCTAAACAAGAGCTGATTGGCTGGACTACCAAGTATCACAAAACGTCCCTGTTGTTTCCTTTTCAAAGTTGCACAGAAGCGAGAACGAAGCACATAAAGAATAGAAAATTACACAAGAGTGGCAATTTTTTAACAGATTATACTTTGAATCCAAACTACTTAAATTACTCGTCAAAATGATGCATCAAGAGCAATAAGAAGCAACCTGCTTACATCTCTTGAAGGTTTCACTCAAGTTGTCCTGCATTGCCTGCTCACACTTTGGAAGAACACGTTCATTTGCATCAAAGATCGTATTTTTGAGATTTTCAAGTACTCGCAGCTCTCGGAGGCCACGTTTTTCCTGCCACAAAAATGAAAGAAAGTGAGTGGCTAGCAAGGAATTCCACTTCACAAATTAGAGATAGTTTCCCAGTTGATAAACTAATAGCTTTATCTCAAAGACTAGACCATTGTCTATGGAAGTGTCACTCTACTTATTTAACAACAAAGATAAAATTGCCAAAAAAAGACAGCAATGTTCCATTCTTCACATTAAAATACAAAAAATCCTCTGAATGACTCATCCGGCCCTTGTGAGAAAAGACACTATCAACTATTTACACACTGTGGGGAAAAATGCCCTGTTTTGTATAGACAATTTACAGCATCTCTAAAACAACAGAGAGCAACAGAGCTTGAAAGCATTTCATTTTTATAACTCAGTTGGTTACTGAGAAATAACGCAGTAGTGATTGATTCTGCTTGCTTGATGTCTGACCTTCCATATTTAGTATGGCAGGAGGTGAAAACAATGCAAGTAAAATTGTTTTAACTGAAGTAAAGCAATGAAATTGACTAAAAATAATATAACACAGCTCTTCTAGATCACTACTCACCATGATTAATTACAAGTACAGCTAGATCTTGTTTTATTGTCTAAATTTACAAAATAATCTATTTTTCTGAAGCCACAGCACTATTCCCACTCTGAATTTCATCAGCATTTTACTTTAGATAAAAACTCGACATAAACAAAAAATACTCTTTTACATGAAGTGGGACAGGGATCACCACACCCATTTTAAAACTTCAGAAACAGAGCACAGGCAAGCAAAACTCCTTAATTAAACAGGTTCCAGATTTCCTGAATGCAAATCTCCATTCCTTGCACACTAGGTGCTAATCATTGAAAAAACAAGCATGTATCTCAAAGTTAGAAACAAATGGAATTTCTGAGTGCTGGTGGTCCTAACCCCACTTTAAAGAAATTCTGAATTGCAAAAATTTAAATAATCCTCTACTTTGCTATTTTCCCCCCATAAAAATATAAACCAGTAACTAAAGCTCAAAAAAAGATCTAATTTGTCTAAGAAACAGAACATGACTTCAGGTGAAACGAGACAAATACATGAATAATCACCCTAAAGATACAAGTTCTAATTTTGTCCATGAGTTTAACATTTTCCTTCCTATGGAATGACACTTAAAACTACTTAGTGTATCCTACGGCTTAGTTAGGGAAAGCATGGAAAAGAAATAACTTCTGACTCTCAAGCCCACATGATACAGATCTGATAAGTTTATTTCATATCCACATTCTGCTAAACCAGCAGAGACAAAATAGACCTGCTTGAAATATAAGCTACAATCTAGGTTGTGGGGGGTGAGGGAGAAAGACAGTTTAATGTCATTCAAATCAGGTCTGCATACTGGAATTTTGAGGTGTAGCTGCATTTTCAGCTACATTTTTAAATTCCATATTCTCTAAGAAAGAAAATCTATACAGAAACAGCCTTTTGCTGGCAGAGGATTCAAATTTTCTAAACCTTTGCTGCCATCTTGTGGAAACCAAATTATACTTTCCAGGCAAAGGTGTACATAAACACTTCTACACATTCAGTACTTTAGCCTTAATTGCAGCCAATGAAATAACAGTTATTCAATTTTTAACTATTTTATTACTTTGCAAAAAGTGTTCCTCTTCTCTTTCAGTAATATAAGTTTCTCTTGTGTAGTGAAAATTAAAACAAACAAACAAACAAAAAATGTGCTAGCTGAATCCAGCTGAGGCATAAAGTAGCTTTTCAAAGAGATGTAAACCCACGCTAGCCAACAATACTTTCCTTGAACCAACTGGATTTCTCTAAGATGTTAGGACTACATTATTCTCCAACACCAACATTCTTGCCAGTCTTGTACAGGAAAAAAATAAACCAAAAAACCACATCTTCTTTTCAAAAGTTTTAAAAGAAAAAGACCTAAATTACTGCCTTGTTTGCTAAAGATGCAGACATATACTACAGGTGTGTTATTTTTGGAAAAAAAATCCACATCAAACCCTTTTGAAGAAAGTTATGTACCTGCTATGATATCTAAAAAGATGCTAAAGCTGTTCAAAGTTTCAGACACTGCCAGCATCGAATACTTCAAATTTTTACTTCATACTTACTTCTTACTTACAAATACTTACTTCAAATTCTTTAACAAAGTAACGTATTTCTCCCTGAATTACTGGTCGGTGATCCAGCAGTCTTGAATAGACTTCCCCAACATCTAGAAGATTATTGAAAGACAGAATTTTAGTTTTTCTCTCACTCTTACACCAGGCAACACAACACACGCAGCACACTGTACCTCAGTGTGAGGAAAGACTATTGCTCACCAAGAACATACAAAACCAAAAGAGCACCAGAACAGAATTTTCAGAGTAACCTATGTATCCAGCAAACTGCCAGCTTAGATAAAACACAACAAACCAGATTCCAAAGACACCTTTCACTATTCCAGATGCCAAAGACACCTTTCTGTGAAGGTGAATGCTTTCCTCTGCAGCTCAGTACCCTTTGTTTCAATCCTCTTTATCCTTAGTACAGCTTCCATGTCTGATTTTTAGTGCTGGTAAAAGACCAGAGCTAAACACTGCAGCTTAACAGAGGTCCACAGAGTAAGTGTGGGAGATCTGCAGCAAGAGACAGGAGGAATCCTCACTACAAAGAAAAACTGTCAATATTTTCTTGTTTTCTAGGGCCAGACTTGAAATTGAGTCTTGAAAAAGAGTATTTACTACTTAAATATATGTGGAGAAACAGGCTTGCCTGTCGCAAAGAAAAAGCCTGCTAAATTGAAAAGCACTCTGAGAACATAGCAAGTACTGTTTCAAGACATATAAAATGTAATCCCAAAAAAATACTTTAAGATGGCACTGCCATCTAAAGGACGCGTCCTCCTGCCCCATCTGATGGACCCGTCCTGTGGCTCTACTGTATCCACCTGTGTTTGTTCAACACCCTGAATCCCAGCACGTTCACAACGGTGCAGAACGATTATTTAGAGATTCGGGAAACTCATGACTGCAGTAAATAATGCATGGGCTGACTACGAACGGTTCAGAGCGCGGATTAACCACGACAAAACTTGGGTGAAGAAGACCAAAAGTAAGAACTTCCCAGGAAACTCCATGCCTGTGGCAAGGGCCGCGGCGGCCGATTCGGCTCCCCGAAAAAAAAGCCACAGAGACACCCAGGTTCCCAGTTCGGAGAGACGAGAGCCAGCAAAGCCTGCCGGGTGTCCAGCTTTAAACCCCAGCACACTCCCCGCACCTCGGAGGGCTGGAATCCCGGAGAGAGCTGGACGGTCCTGGGGGTGCCGGCACACTGCGGCCGCTCTCAGGACCCCGGGCCGGCTCTCCGCCGCTGCCGCGGGGTTACATGGCGGGCTCGGCGCCTCCGCGGGCCCGCACCGCTCCCTCCTTACCCTTGATGATGGGCTGGATCGGGGAGCCGGCGGCCGTGGAGTCCCGTCTCCTGTCGGCGGGCGGCGGGGCCGCCGCGCTGCCGCGGCCGGGGGACGCGGGGCTGGCCCCGCTCATGGCGCTCGGCGGCCCCCGGCAGCGCAGCCCGGGCCGCCCCGGCCCTGGTCCGGCCTCCGTCCCTTCCCGCAGCGCTTCCGCCGGGCCCGCTGCCGCGCCGTGAGCTCATCGCGGCGCGCCGGCCGCGGCGGCGGAACCGCCCCCAAGGAGCCCCGAGCGCTCCCGAACCTGCGGGCCTGGGGCGGCTCCTGTGGGGAGGGAGAGACGCGCACGGGTCCTGAGAGGGGCTGGAGGGAGTGCGGGTGTTAGCGTGAGGCAGAGGCGGCACAGAGAGACCTTACTGCTCTCCACAAACGCCAGAAAGGAGCGAGTAGCCAGGTGGGGTCGGTCGCTTCTCCCGGGTAATCAGTGACAGGACAGGAGGACATGGCCTCAAAGTGTGTCTGGGGATGTTCAGGTTGGACATCAGGAGGAATTTCCCCACCTGGGGAAAGGGTGATTAGACACTGCAATGGGCTGCCCCGGGAGGTGGTGGAGTCACCATTCCTGGAGGTGTTTAAGGAAAGATTGGACGTGGCGCTTCGTCTAGTTGGCATGGTGGTGTTTAGTCATAGGTAGGATTTGATTATCTCAGAGGGTTTTTGCAATCTAATTGATTCTCTGATTCAGTAATTATAGTAAGAGACATACATTAACCCACTTTGCTTTTAGGTGCAGTAAACATGAATAACAACTGCTGGACACACGGGCTACAAATAAACAAAAACCAATCAAAGAAATAAAAAAAGAGCAGCAGACTCTATTTACAGCTATTTAAAAAAGCAAAAAGTGATGTAAAATCCCTGTACATTTCTTTTACAACCATTTCAGAGTACGAGAGAGGCTCTCAGTATGAGAAAGATATGGAGCTCCTGGAGGAGGTCCAGTGGAGAGCTGCAAAACTGATTAGGGGACTGGAGCATTTTTTACAATGAAAGGCTGAGGGAACTGGGCTTGTTCAGCCCTGAGAAGAAACACCTGAGAGGGAACCTTATCGACGTCTATCAGCATCTGAAAGGAGGGTAACAAGAGGATGGAGCCAGGCTCTTCTTGGCGCCTATTGCCAAGCAGTAGGACAAGAGGCAATAGGCAGAAACCGATGCATAGGAAATTTCACCTGAATATGAGAAAGAAGTTTTTTACTGTGCAGGTGACTGAGCACTAGAACAGATTGTCCAGAGAGGTTGTGGAGTCTCCCTACCTGGAGATACTTAAGTACCTTCTGGATGCAATCCTGTACCAAGTGCTCTAGGATGCCCCTGCTTGGGCAGGGAGGTTGGACCAGATGAGCCACCATGGTCCCTTCCAAGCTGACCCATCCTGTGATTCTGTGAGAGCATTAGGATAGTCTCAACACACTTCCCCTCCCTCTTGGCCGCTTATATATTACAGTATATTAACTTCTGTTTGTGACTTTTTTCTTCTTGCTAATAAACTCAATAATTTCTAGAACAGGTCGATTCTATTTAGACCATTGCATCTAAGTTTGTTTCTTCTTTTACTTTTTTTTTTTTAATCTCCAAGACATACCACACTTCTCAGTGTCATTGTATGGTCAATAAAGAATAAATTGGACCACAAATTCTGCTACAGCTACTGCAGCCTTCAGTGTCCTGAAGGCTTCCTTCCTACCTGGAATACCAGAAAGGTGCCAGTTTAGCTGGAACAATTACTAGTTTATTAGCAGAAAACAGGACTAGTATGTATTCTTTGTTAGAAATTAGTTCTGCACATGTTCTACTCTGCATAGCTTTTATAAATGGGAGCAATTGTGTGGCTCAGGAAAAGGGGCACTTTTAAAAAGCTATTTGAACTGACACAAAAAATGATTCTATTATTAAATCCTGTGCCACATCATAAAAGCTTGGAAACTGCTCATGGAAATTACTATATGGGTTTTTTTTGACAATGTCTATAATCTTCTACACTCAGGCTTAAAAATGAGTTAATTGGTTCTTACATTGGGAAGTATTCAATACTTCAACTAACATTATTATTAAATTTAGCATAATTATATAATGTGAAATAGTTTTTCACTCCTTCACTGTTACATAGTCTGTATTACATTAATTAGGCAATTAGTAGATGTAGTAATTACTTTAAAAATAGTTCCCTTCTACATTATCTATTTCCTGAAAGTGACCTGCTATTGCAACCTGTAAATTAGTATTTATGTTTTTCCACTTGATCCCAAACATGTAAGTATTTGATAATCACCAGTAAATTACAGTCATGCCCATATATTAATAATATCTGCAGGATATTCCAGCTGGCTTAATCATCACTACTAATTTGGGCTAGAACTGTTCAAATCTTAATTTTACCCTTTCCAGCTTTCCTTTCATAGCCCTTCAGACAAGTTATTTGCCCCTCTAGGCCCTATGCTCCAGCGTTTTATTCGTCAAAAAGGAAATCCTGTAGTTAAGCAGCTTTGTAACTACTGCATTTCTAGGAAAGAGTTTTTTACATCATGACTAATGTCAGGTTCAGAATTATGGGACTGCAACAAGGGCAAATCATGTGACAGATAGTTCCATTGGTTTCTAGGACTACTGTTCTGAAACCATTCCTCCTTTGTTTGAATAATGTTGGGTTTTGCTTTTCCCCCCCTTTTTTTTTAAGAATATGCTATTTGTTGTATTTATGCCTGGTTTTGTTTTTTGTTCCCCTGCTTACTCTCATTGCCCAGTCAAGCTTATTTTCAAAACATATTTTAAAGAAATTAAGGAGGACTTAAAGAGGTGATGGCTATAAAAAGACAATACTTGTGGAGCCCCCTAACCTGTCAGTTTGTAGAAAGTAGTCATCAAGTCACAAAAATATGGAAATAGCTATGGCTTGCAGCATGAAAATCAACATATGTAGTCATCATGTATTTTTTTGGAAGATAGGCTAAACAACCTCTGTCATTTTTGCCGTGCAATGGAACCCGCTTTCTCTTTTAGGGATCACCCTGCCGCTTCCCATTAGCATTAGCAGCACTCTGAATTGCAGAATCTTCAGCTGAACGTGCCGAGTCCTGTCATTTCCCCCACAGGCTGTCTGGCGATGATAATCCACGAAAGGATTATTTCATCCAAGTGGCGGTGTCCGAGTCAAATGCCGGCAACAGGCAGGAAAACCCAAACCTGTTGAGGCAGACATCTGCCCAGATGGGAGGAATCGGAGCGACGGCCCTTAAGAGGGCGAGGCGGGGGACATACTTTGTGCCAGCAGAATAAGTCCATGGGCTGCACCCGTGATGGGAGAGCAAGACCACGATGGTGATGGCTGGAAGTTTGCGGGCTGCGATGCCGATGCTGGCCAAAGCAGGCCCCGGGCTGCGCTCTTTGGAGCAGTGCCTTGTCACATTAGCCGGGCGGCCGCTGCGTTTGATGCTCAACCTGGACAGACAGGCCTGCCAGGCAGAAACTGCTCAGGCAGATGATGCTGGGGAGGACAAAAATTATCCAGCGCAAGACTGAGAAGACAGATGACACCCAGCAGGAACAGCAAGCCAAATCTGCAGAATCCACAATGCAGCTGGCTAGCCCGGGGCTACCTGCCTCTTTGAAGAGGAATAGACATCACCTACGAGCTGTCAAATTAGATCACCAGCCTGAAAATGCTGAAAGAGATTTAGTTCTTCAAACAGAGAAGGGAAAGTTTAATGGATGAAAATCTTCCTAAAGGGGCCAAGGTAGTGTGGGAGGGGAAAGGGGAATCCTTCAGATGCAGCAACAATGAAAAATTAATCACCTCCTGCCTGCCTGCAGAGTGAGAGATGGGATGCGTGGTGTTCTGTGGCAGCCACGCTGGCTGTAGTCACTACCAGCGTGGAAAATAAAGGCCACGCCTGCAGGAACGTGCACAGAGCAGCAACAAGTAATGCTTGCTACAAAATCGATCCCCCTTTCCAAATCTGTGATATGTTCATGTTGCCCTGGAGCTGGGCTCTGAGGTACCATACATCTCACATTCAAGACATGAAGTGGTGGGATACAAAGGCCCAGTCTGAATCTGAAAACTCTGCAAAGCAAGAGGTGCACGGTGGCATTTCCCTTTAATTTCCTTTGCAATATAATTCCAGCACAAAGAAAATGTGTGTAATCAAAGTCAATTTTGATGAATAGAAAAAAAAATATTAAGATTACCAAGTGAGTAAGCATGTGCTCAGGTGTATGGTGAATATGAAACCTGGCATCTCCATCAGGGACAGCAGTAGCATGATCCAATTATAGATGCAAAGAAGAAATACTGCTCTTAGGGGGAAAATATTAAATGTAGCAATCCATTAAGCAGCTGCATCACTGCAATTACACTTTGAAGTTAAAGACTGTGAAATGCACCAAAGATTAAAAGAGGTGATAAGATTAAAAATCAAAAGGGGAAAAAAATCAAATAGGCCTACTGATCCCTCTTTCTAGCAAAAAAAAAAAAAAAAAACAAACCAAAAAGATAGAAAAAAAATTACATACTAGGTTCTGTATATACATACAATTGTAAAATCAATTTGTGGCCATACCAAGCAAATCTACTTAAAAAATCTATTCCCAACTTCAACATTCATGTAGCAGACAGACCATAAATCACCTGCAGAGATGCAAACGAGATGCTAGCAGATCAGAAAGATTATGAACACAGACTTCTGAATAGAAGAGCTTACACTGGATTTCTTAATAATGATTTTATAGTTCTATCTATTCTTTTATTTTCATCTTTCTCAGCTAATCGCTTTCTAAGTACTTTGTCCTCTTCCAAATCAACATCTGTCTTTTGATCATCTATTGTTTTTTTAACCAAGCAGAAAATAAAAGACAGCTAAGTTCTACTACTCTTTCATCTGTAATGTTATTTGGGTGTACTTCACAGACCAAACCACTTCTAAGACACATTTTCATATAAAATAATGAATATAAATTAATGTCTTATTTGAATTGCAAAGTACATCTACATTAAATATTACTTAAAGTGTCTCAGCTCCCTGCAAGTAACCCAGGATCCACATCCACACTGAAGGGTCCAGATTAATCTTCCATCAG